GCAACCCAATATCATGAGAACCCCACCCTTTTAATTATTGAACATGAAAAATTCTGTAAATTTTAAGAAAAAACATGCTCGAACTCTAGTACTATGAAGAGAAAAAGACACCTAGATAACACTAAAGATCAGAGAAAAGCTAACATGAATGACAATTTAGTACTGGTTCGCCTCATTATAATTATTCCGACCAAAGGGTACCATTTTGTTATAGTTTTAGATCATGAAGTTTTTTTTGTTACAAATGAAATACGAGTACTTTTTTTGTTACAACGCCCAGAGTTGGACTACCTCCTGTCAAAGAAATCGTACTAGGGGTGTTAAAACCTAACCATACTAAGGGTGTCAAAGAAACATGCAGTGGACCGATCATGATTCTCCGTAATAGAATAATCATACTCCAGTTCCTCGAGCTTTCTCCCAGACGAAGGAGATATGAATTCCATTCAGGCAGGTAAGGGCTTGGCAAGGTAGATTCCCTTTCAAGATATTGCGTGTAAAGAGAAAGATAGCCACTCCGAAAGTTTTATGTTAAAAGAACCAAGGAGCTAGCTTTAGGTGATCTACGATGATCTATATGGAAGGGCAATTTCATTCCTCTTGAGAATGGAGAGATCTTCTTTTGAACCGGAAAACTTGGTTACGTAGATCTTTTATTTCGCCTGAACCGTATGAGTTGAACTATGTTCAACGAGCGATAATCACTCGACCAACGTACAAAATGTCACATTTCACTATTTAAAAATCAACCAAATTTTTATTTATTTATGTGTAGAACGTTTGAAATAACTTTTAAATATGTAATTTGTTTTATGTCTATATCAACCGTTAAATAAAATGAATTGAAAAAATTTAAATTTTTATTTGATTTTTAAAATGTGGTACATGTTTTTGGGACGGAGGGATAATTTTTATATATTATTATTATCGTCGTTAATTATTATAGATAGAGTTATTACATAATATTATACGGAGTACATTATTATCTTATTTATCTAACCGTTAATGATTGACGTAAAGAATTCTAGAATGCTCCAACTTTATCTATACAATCATTACCTTGTATTCCCCATATTATTAAGGCTTTGTTTGGGAAGAACTTTTTCAATTAACGTTACCATTTTGGACAAAATATTTACGGTGTAGATTAATTTGGAAAAATGCTAATGCTAAAGGTTACCGTCAAATAGTCTTTTTAAAACGTTAATGTAATCTCTAATATTGATGTCAAACGAGGCCTAACCGCCTAAGCAATCAGTCATTCTTTATTAATTTGACGTAATACATAAAAATTAAAATCTTTGTCAAAGATCAAATTGACCAAAACTTTAAGTACATGGTTGAAGAATCAAGAAAAAAATTACTTTGAATAAAGTCATCGGGTGAATGCCACTTTTTATTTTTTGAGTGAGGTGTCTATGGTCCCAACGTTTATATTTAAAAGGTGGACGTTCTCCCATTTTCATGGGCTTGGATATCAATATTTTCTTTTTTTGCAAAAAAACACATCTTTAATGCTACAAATCCTAATGTTATTTTGTTTTAATTATTCGGTTACTATATTTAGAACTTTACATCATATAATTTCTATAAATATTTCTTAAGGTCTCCCTTCTAAAACACATAGCCTCCCTTCCTTTAGGGGTGAGCAAGGACCAAACCGATCCCAACATTTCCCGAAAAACCGAGAATACTAAACCGAAAAATACCGAAGCGATAAAGTACCGAAAAGAAATCGAACCGTACCGAACCGAACGGTCGGTCTGGTATTTGGGAACGGTACGAGGTTACTTCCCATACCGAAATTCCCGAATCGAATATATATACTAATATATTATTAAATAATAATCTTTTTATATTTTTCATTAAATAAAAAAATTTATATAGACAATTTAGTTTATTTTCATTATGTTTAAGTTGCACTTTAATCAGAGTTTTTTATTTTTTGTAGATGAGTATAAGAATATTAACAAATATTTGAAATAATACTTGGTTATCACTCGTTCTCTTTAGTTTGTGAAATATAAACTAACGTTTTTAAGCATTTCTTGCATTTTATTTTTTCATTTTTAAATTTTTTTATCTTTCTTTGGATAAATGTACATTCAATTTTTTCAAAAATAAAAGATTTTGTTACATTTTATGATGTAAACTAGGCACATATATATTCATCCCGATTCGTACCGAAATTGATACTGAACCATCCCAAACCATACCGAACCGATGCTTCGTGATCGGAATCGGTACAACGTTAAATCCCATACCGAACCAAAATATTTGGTATGGTATCGGTACGAGCTAAATACCGTACCATATCGTACCACGTAAAATATTTGGTATGGTATCGATAGTCGACCACCTCATATCATGGGTGGTCCGAAGGGTGTGCCGAGTGGCTAACCGCACACCAGTTTCCAGAAAATTTTAGGGTCCTATATTTTTAAAGATGACATTAATTTTAAAGCATAAGTATTCTAGCAAAATAAAATAGGTAGGGCTCATAATGTAAATTTTAGACTTGACCAATTTTATTTTTTCATTTTTCGGAACTGACTTTGCCACATATCATGGTCTCGCCGTCCTTCATCCATCTCTCTCTCCAAAAGTATATTGGCGTGTATAAACCTAATGTCTCTTTCTTTTTTTTCGTTTCTTTGGAGCTGTTCTTTATTAGTACTTGTGCTCCAAACAATTTCATTTGATAAAACTTCGTAAAAAAGTAGATGAGAAGTTAATTTTGAAAGGAGAAAGTATTAATTAAAAGATGTAGTGGATTAATTAAAGCTGATTATAAATGCCCCTTTGATCCTTCTTATTTTTACTCCTTTGTTGCTCTATTTAAGTATTAGAGTTAAAGCGAAAATATCAACGTAACAAAGACACAAATAGTTAAAGAGAATAAAATAAATATTTGTTAAACTTACTAATTTATAATAGAATAAAATAGCCTCAAATAATTATAAAATTAGAAATTTAAATTCAACTTTTTGTTGTGATTTTAGCATTTTCTCATCTAACATTAGCCATATTATTTACTCCCTTTTGACTATAATTACTTTGCAAAACACTCCCAACCACTATCGTCTACAACTAAATTCATCCAACCATGAACATCCTTAAATAAGTGCCCAATCACCCACCCTTTTATTAATACCCTTTTGAAATTCATCAATCCCTTCAAGCCAAAAACCCACACCACAATGTCTCCATACAATAACCCAAAAATGGTTCTCATGGTCTTCTTCTTCCTAGTGCTTCTAACTGGGTGCTTCTCATCATCAATCCATGCAAGAAAACATGCCTCCATTGATGAGTATGAGATCATGTTGCCCAAACACGTCCCGGTTTCTCCGTCGGGGCCTTCATGTAAGTCGAGCCCGGGGACCCCACCGAGCTGCTTTCACCGGACGAATAAGGCATCATCCCCGCCTCCGTCGTCCATTTCGCCGGCTCCAATGTACTCAACTTAGAATAATAATGGAGATTTCATTTGGTGGATGGGTGTTGCCATGATAGTGTTGTGAGCCATCATTATATTGCTAATTTTCTCTAGCCTTGTATGTGTGACAACAACCAACTAAATGTACTTGGCACATGTATGCTAGCTTCTCTTATGAGAAATCATGAATTGATTTGGGTAATTATAAGTCTCCCTCATGGTTTTGTTTTGTTTTTTTTCCTCATTATTTTTATTTGTTTATTTGAAAAAATGAGATAGACCATAAATAATACGGAGTACTACGTAATTATTAGGAGTAGAAAAAATGAGATAGACCAACTATGGAGGCATGAAGAACAATAGTACCAAAAAGAAAGCAAAATTCTAAATAATAATCGCAATTAATAAACAGGTATATTATATTTTTCTCCTGCAATTTTATTGGCTAGGACATAAATAGAAAAATATTGAATATAGGCCAAGCTCCAAGAAACCAACCTCGAATATAATAATGTCAACATACAACATACCTAATTTAGTCTGTGGAGATAAATTTAGGTTTCATACAGTAGCTGGCCAGTAGGGGTGGTGGATATGACTCATAATTCCAACCAAATACCAAAACCATACCAGAATCACTTTAACCTCATTTAGTTGGAAGGAATACGAGAGAAGGTATAGAAATGAAAGGGAAAGGAAAAGGAAAAATAACTCTCAAGGCTTTTTAACTTCCAAAAGTTGGTTTGAATGAAATGAAACAGAGACGAAAAAATAATCACCCCGCAATTTTTAAAATCATTTTATTTATAAATTGATAAATCAATAAATAAAAATTACATATTATTACATCAAAATTTTACAAAATAAAATTTGACAAGTGATGGCTATAAACCACCGAGAGTATGAAATAATATAAGTTTTAGAGAGAGAGAGAATGCAAAGTAGGAGTATATTGATTCCAAATTCGCCCTCATTACAATGAGGGGTGCCACCCCTTTTATAGGGGGTACAATACACTAAGTCAAAGCCCTCTGATCGAGGCTCGTCGTTTAGCGGACGTCACCTGTCCTTAGGTCTTGTCCCTTTCATCCTATCGCTTTCATCAAGTCTTCGTTGAACGTTGCTTTCCTCACGTCGTTGTCGCAGGGTTCGGGCTCGGCTTGGTTGGCCGAGCCGAGCAGGAGGGACGAGCGGAGCGCAGTGCCGGGCAGGAAGACGAGCGGAGCTCTGAGCCGGGCAGGAAGACGAGCGGAGCTCTGGACTGGGCAGGAACATCCAAGCCCGATACTTAGGAAATTTATGCTGTGTGGGGTTATTCCCCATCAGAAGCCCCCCACTCTCCGGGCTCCATGGCATCTAGTAGTGGAGCGCGTGAGAGTAGAAAACACTGTGATTGGTCAACTCGTGGGCCCACGCATAGCTTGGCGGGCATGTGGTGACGCTCCGAGTTCCCCGCGAACGGTTGTGGCGCTTTGCTTCTCCCAAGTGGCGGCCCAAGCGTGACACCTGTCTGGTCGGGCCCAACTTTAGTATAAATAACCCCAAAGCTTCCTTCATTCTCACATTCTAGAGAGAGGAGATACATTAGGGTTCGCGCCGCCACCGTCGATCGCTGCTTCCCTTCTCGCACGTCGCTGCTCTTTGCTTCCCGCATTTCCCCGGCGACGCCCCTTCGAGGTCAGTTCCCCTATCCTACCACTTCATGTCTATCGATTCGTCCTCTGTTCGCACGTCCGAGGTCGAGCGCGAGCTTGGGTCCGCCAGTCGTGGTTCCGTGGCCCAGGGTGGTCAAGCGGCGCAGCCGGGTTCCCCATCCATTGAGGAAATCACGGCCGTAGAGGTGCCCGGGGAAACCGAGCCCCGCCCTCAGAGACACACATTGCTCATGGATTCGCTCATCCGCGAGTGCAAGTGCGACTTGTCGAGTGACGAGTTCCTCAAGGCGGTGCGCTACGCCGGCCCCCTCGTGACCGTTCGTCACCCCACCCCGGAGGAGTCGGTCTTCGACGCTCCTCCGGGCTACTTCGCCATCCATCTCAAGTCCCTTGAGAACGGCTTCCGCTTCCCCTTGGAGTCCTTTTTCAAACACTTTGACTTCTTCCCGTGTCAATTGGTGCCGAAATCGCACCGGTACTTGGCGGGGTTCTTGATCCGCTGTCGGGAGATGGACGTGCGGGCCGACCTCGAGCGCCTACTGACCCTGTTCCGAGTGGCGAAGTCTTCCGGGTCGGATGGGGGTTCTTTTGCCGCCCTCTGCCAACGGCAAGAGATGCTTTTTAAAACAAAGAAGGAATCCAACAGGACTTGGAAGTCCAAGTTTGTCTTCGTCTCCGTGGGGTCAGCCTCCCCTTTCCGAGACACTCCCCTCAGCTCTTTTCGTAGACGATCCAAACCCTTTGCCTCTTCCAAGGCTATTGCTGATACGAACAAGTTGTGTTCGGGTGGCCCTTACGAGCCCGGGGTCTTAGTGAACGACGAAGCTCTCGCCAAGTTCGGGTTCGTCTTCCATGATGAAGACGAGCCCAAGCGCCGGGTCGTCCAGAGTCAGCTTGAGGAGGGACCATCAGGTTTCTTTGTTCAATTCTTTGGCGGATTTATACTCCGCTCGCAATTTGTTCAGGAGATTCGAACTTATCTCTTTTCTTGCAGGTGAAATCATGATTTCCGCAGCCGATCGGAAGAAGCTGTTCAAGTCTAAGGTGCGCGCGGGGTCCAGCCAAGAACGGCCTCCGCTTCCAACTCCCATACCGTCCGCCGAGCATACCCAGGCGGGTAAGAAGCGCAAGGATGTGAGCTCCTCGATGGAAGGGGCTTCACTGAGCAGGGCGAGGTCTCCACCCTCGCGCTCGGTGGACTGCGGAAACCCGGCCTTCGTGAAGGTGGCGTTCCCCCTCAAGCCTTCGTTCTTGCATGGGGACTATGAGCCTCGCCGTTTTCTGCAGAGCTTCATCCCTCCGCCAGACCGAATGGAGATAAGTTCGGCCGCCTCGGAAGACCTCGCCTCTACTCTCTTGCTCGAGTTGGGCTCGGTAAGCGTTCTTTGCTCGGGTATGACATGCGTTTCTGCCCGACACTTAGATGGATTCTAACAAATTTTTCCGAATTTTCATTGTTGTTGTAGGTGGTCATGCGCGCCCCAGAGCTGGTGGAGCGCTTCGAGTGGTATGTGGCGGAGAAGGCAAAAGGCGAAGGGGAACTTCGGAGGTTGCAGGAGCACGTGGCTGGCCTCGAAGGGGAGCTTACTGATGCCGAGGAGGGGGCTCGGGTTTCAGAGCGGGCTCGCACTACTGCTAAGGAGAAGGCACGCCGCCTGGACGAGGAAGCCGAGCACGTGGTCGAGGCCTTTCAGACTTGAATAAGTTTTGGAATCGGAACGGCCGTTTGATGGAGTGTTTGGGCTCGCTAATGCAGAGCCGTGCTCACGCTTGCGCTCGCCCATGCGGGGCCGTGTTCACGCTTGTGCTCGCCTAATCATAGACGTGCTAGCCTCGCCTCGTCGCCTAACCGAGGACGAGCGCAGGTTCGCCTTACCCGCGTAGTGCTCTGCCCAAACACCTTGGTCTTGGTGCCTTTGCCCACCGGTTCATTCTAAGGCATTCGCGCCATGTACTAGCCCCTTTTTCCGGGATGAATAAGATATGACTTTGATTTTATGTCTCGTTTTTTAGTTATTATTTTGAGCGTGAGTGTTTGACCTCCATCCGGGAAAAACATCCGGGTACGGCCTGCGCTCGGCTTCCCTCCCAGGGAGGAGCACCGAGCGCGGATGTTTGGCTTGCGCTCGGCCTTCCTCCCGAGGAGGAGGAGCGCCAAGCGCGAGTGTCTGACATCCATCCGGAAAGAACATCCGGGTATGGTCTGCGCTCGGCCTTCCCTTGGGGAGGAGCGCCGAACACGAGTGTTTGACCCTCATCCGGGAAGAACATCCGGGTATGGCCTGCGCTCGGCCTTTCTCCCGATGAGGAGGGCCAAGCGCGAGTGTTTGACCTTCATCCGGGAAGAACATTCGGGTATGGTTTGCGCTCGGCCTTCCCCTGGGGAGGAGCGCCGAGCACGAGTGTTTGACCTTCATCCGGGAAGAACATCCGGGTATGGCTTGCGCTCGGCCTTCCTCCCGAGGAGGAGCGCCAAACGCGAGTGACCTTCATCCGGGAAGAACATCCGGGTATGGTCTGCGCTCGGCCTTCCTCCTGAGGAGGAGCGCCGAGCACGAGTGTTCAATCAAGCTCTTTTCGCAAAAAAAAACTTCATTCCATTGAGCTCAACCGAAAAGATCTGTGGGTTCCCATTTTGGGGTCCGTGTACATCAGAAGTCTACTGATAAAACTTAACTAAATTCTCGGCATTCCACGTTCTGGGCACGTCCCCTCCGCTCGGCGTCTGCAGGCGGAATGTCGAAGGTCCCACCACTTCTTTGATGATGTATGGGCCTTCGTAATTTTTGGCAAACTTTCCTCCTTCTAGGGGGCGACTCACTGCCCTCTTGCGCAGCACCCAATCTCCTTCAACGAACCCCCGCGCGCGCACGCGCCCATCATGGTAGCTCTTCACCTTCCTTCGGTAATTCTCCGCCCGTATGAAGGCTGCTTCTCGTCTTTCATGCACGAGGTGGAGCTCGGCTGCCAGGGCTTCCTCATTGCGCTCGGGGTCAAAGACCTCCTCCCGGTGGGTTGCGATGGAGATCTCTGGGGGTGCCCTTGCCTCGAATCCGTAGCTTAGAGCGAAAGGAGTTTCCCTAGTTGCCCTTCGGGGCGTGGTCCGGTAGGTCCATAAGATATAGGGCAACTCCTCTGCCCACTCCCCTCCACAAGCTTCTAACTTTCGCTTCAGCCCATCGACTATCGTTCGGTTGGCGTTCTCGACCTGCCCGTTTGTCTGCGGGTACCCAAGCGACGCATAACTGTGTTTGATCCCCCAACTCTCGAGAAAGTATTTAAAGGGCTTGGACTCGAATTGTGTTCCATTGTCTGTGATTACGTGCTCGGGAACGCCGAAGCGGCAGATGACTTGCTTTGCGAGAAACTTCTAGCATTGAGCTCCAGTGATGCTTGCCAATGGGGCCGCCTTCACCCACTTGGTGAAGTAGTCAATGGCTACAATGACGTAGCGCACGTTCTCGGTACCTCTAGGAAGCGCACCCACGAGGTCCACCCCCACCGCGCGAACGGGATAGCTGTGCTGATGGGGGTACAGTTTGTTGAAGGCCTCCCTGGTACCTTCTGGAACTCTTGGCACACCTTGAACTTTCTCACAAACTCCGCGCAATCCTTAACAATTGTTGGCCAAAAATATCCTTGGAGGGTTATCTTCCTTGACACCGCGTAGGCTCCTTGGTGGGCGGAGCAGATCCCCGCGTGCACCTCCTCCATGACTTGCTCCGCTTCAGCTGGTCGGAGGCACCTGAGCAGCGTACCGTTGTATGCTCGCTTGTATAGCTTTTCGCCCTCCAAAGTGTACCCAGGTGACCTAGTCCGGACCAACTTGGCCTTTTTTGCATCGTCCGGGAGGGCGCCATCCTTCAAGAAGGCAACTATGTCGTCCATCCAATCTTTTGGCCGAGCACAGATCATTGCCACGAGGAAGGCATGGATGCTCGGCTCGGACAACTCTTCCACGTTCACCATCCGCCTGATGTGCTCGGGCGTGTCCGAGCTCAGCTTCGACAAGATATCCGCCTCGGCATTCTCCGCCCGAGGGATCTGCTCCACACTATACGCGGTGAAACTCTTAAGTAACTCTAGAGCGGTATCTCTGTACTTCTTCATTCTTTCGTCCTTCGCCTCGAACACTCCCGAGACGTGGCCAACCACCAGCTTTGAATCACACTTTACCCTTAGCTTTGTTGCGTTCATCCCGGCTGCTAGGCGTAGCCCGCACAAGAGCGCTTCACATTCCGCTTCATTATTTGATGCCTTGAAACCGAATCGAATTGAGTAATACGTTTTGAAGCCTTCGGGCGCGATGACTACCACTCCACCCCCCGAGTTTTTGGCGGCGGAGGAGCCGTCGGTAAAAATTATCCACCAGTCGTCGGCTTCCGGCTCTTCGAGGCTCGGCTCCTCCCGAGCGGTGCATTCCACCACGAAGTCAACTAGCGCTTGGCCCTTGATCGCTAGCCTTAGCTTGAATTCGATCTGGAAAGCTCCAAGGAACACCGCCCATTTGGACATGCGCGAGGGCGCATTCGGCTCCTGAGCAGCGCACCTATGGGTTGTTGGGAGAGCACTTGAACCGGGTGAGCTTGGAAGTAGGGTGTTAGCCACTGCACAGTTGAAACCACGGCCAGGACCATCTTTTCGGCTACTGAGTACCTGAGCTCGGCACCCCTCAGCGTCTTCGCCGTGTAATATACCGGGTGCTGAGCTCCACCTTCGTCTCGGACTAGGACCGAGCTCAAAGCCTTGGGTGAAACTCCCAAGTATAAGTACAACTCTCCCCCGCTTCGAGCTTCACGAGAACCGGAGGGGAGAGGAGGTAGGACTTGAGAGATTCAAAGGATTGCTGGCATTCTTCCGTCCACATGAACCCTAGGGACTTCTTCACAGTTTGGAAGAACGGAGCGGCTCGGTCCGCTACCTTAGAAAGGAAGCGGTTGAGCGCAGCCAACTTTCCGGTCAAGCGCTGCACCTCCTTGACATTTCGTGGAGCCTCCATGTTAAGGATGGCGCGCACCTTCTCGGGGTTGGGCTCAATACCGCGCCTACTCACCATGTGTCCCAAGAATTTGCCGCCTTGAACTCCGAACGTGCACTTCTTCGGGTTCAGCCGAAGGTTGTACTTCTCCATAATCTTGAAAACATCTTTTAAGTCTTCCGCATGGGTGGTCGCCTGCTTGCTCTTCACAATCATGTCGTCGATGTACGCTTCCATGCTCTTCCCGAGGACGGGCGCGAAGAGCTTGCTCACCATCCTAGCGTAGGTTGCCCCGGCGTTCTTGAGTCCAAAAGGCATCACCTTGTAACAATATACTCCGCCGGGGGTAGTGAAAGACGTCTTCTCTTCGTCCTCAGGGTGCATTCGGATTTGATGGTACCCGCTGAAGGCATCCATGAAACTCATGAGCTCGCAGCCCGCCGTCTCGTCCACCAGCTGGTCGATGTTCGGGAGTGGGAACGGATCCATGGGGCACGCCTTGTTTAGATCGGTGTAGTCCACGCACATCCTCCACGTGTTTCCCTTTGGTGCCAACACCACGTTGGCCATCCACTCCGGGTACTTGACCTCTCTGATATGCCCAATGCTCTGGAGGGTGGCCACTTCCTTGGAGACAAACTCCCTCCGCTCGGACGAGAGGAACCGCTTCTTCTGCTTCACCGGCCTAGCCTCCGGATTGACTGCCAAGCGGTGACATATGACCTTGGGATCCACCCCCGGCATATCTCCGGGGCCCCACGCAAAGATCATGCGGTAGGCAGAGAGCACGCCCACCAAGCGCTTCTACTGGCTCCCAGTTAGGCTCACCCCGACCTTCACCTTCCGCTCGGGTGTCTGAGGGTCGAGCGGCACTTCCTCGACCTCCTCGCCGGGCTCGGCCTTCGGTCGTGCTTCCAGCTTCCGCATTTCCTCCTGTGCGTGCACGACCAACGTCTCATCCCTTGGCAATTTCTTCGTGATACGGACGTAGCACGATCGAGCTAACTTTTGGTCTCCCCTCGCCACCCCGATTCCCGAAGGAGTGGGAAACTTCATGCACAAGTAGTATGGGGAGATCACACATTCCAAGTCCTCAAGGCCGGGCCGT